GACTTTTTCCCAAAAATTTATTCAATTAGGAAGTAAAACATGATCATGCTCCATTATACAATCAAAACTTTATGAATTGACCCGGGTTCAATTGTAAAATTTTAGCAAATAGTTAGTGTGAATGGTATCAACTGTTTCATAACCCTGTGTCGAAAAAAGAACGTTCAACAATCAGAAAACTTGCTCACCGCAGCATAGTTGCCGATAGTTTTTACACCTCCAGTACCTCCAGGTGTAGCACGATGTAACTCATGCTCAATAACTAAATTTATGGGTGCAATGCCTTCCTGTAACAGAAATAAATCTTAAAATTTTGAGGAAGATAAAAAAAAAAAAAAAAAAANCTTAAAATTTTGAGGAAAAAAAAAAAAAAAAAAAAAAAGAATGCAACACAATATAAAAAGAAATTGATTACTGTAGTAACAACACATATAAGTCTTTATAGCATGGGAAAGGACCATGCATTTGGCAAATTTCTCAAAGTAAAGCCATAACTTGAGCTTATAAATTTCAGCAATTAGGTGTTGAGCATTGATCCAGATCATAAAATTGCATTATGAACATTAACAATCGTGATTAAGAAAAATTAAATTATGAACAAATACAACAAAAAACATGTGAGAAAGACCAATAAACAGATTTAGTACTTACGAATATACTTTTTCGAACATTTATGAATGTAAATAACGACAAACCTTAAAATAGTTTCCAACAGGTGAAACATAAATTAAGAATGTGTACTCAGGAGAAGGGGCAAGACCAAGAACTGCTCCACTACCCATCAGCAAAGGCCTGATGTACAATGAACCCTTACCTGAAGGGGGCACCTGAGAAGCAAGGAAACTAATTATGAACTTAACCATCATAAGCTACATCCCAAACAAAATGAAAACACAGCGAAAACAATAATATTCATTACCCAACGTTTGTTGGCCGCAACAGTTGCCTTCACAGCTTCCACAAACTGATCAACAGTTGGTGATGGCATGCACATCCTCTCTGCACCCGACCTCATCCTCAATGCATTTTCCTCTGGACGAAAGAGAAGAATAGAACCATCTTCTTTTCTGTATGCTTTTAGACCCTCAAATAATCCCTATTTGAAGAGGATACTATTCGTCATGTAAAACAAAAAATCCTAAGATTATATAATGAAAATAATACATTAGCAGTTCAAAAAAAATGTCATCCTTAATGTGTGACAATAAATCATAGAAGAATATAATGGCGAGGATCCTCATAGGAAATTAAATTAGTCATCAAATGCCAAAGATCTACACTATAAATACTAATCCTAAGTGGTGCAAATACCAAAACCTTCAGAGTTTACATTAAGTGGTGCTTTATACGCCCACATCTCAAATCTCCATTAAGACACAGTATTGAATCTACTTTCTCACTCCCTTTCTGAAGGTACTCTGACCTTTTCTAGCCACTAAATTAAGATACCATCAATGCTGTTTTAAGTAGTCCACTAAAAAATACTTTACTCTTCTCATAACTTGCTGGAAAGCTGTCTTCTGGTAAAAACAGATTTCAGTCATAACAAGGATCAAATCAACAAGAAATAAAATTGAATGAGTTCTGCAAACGAAATCAAATTTTACAAGAACTTTCAGGAAACATATCTAATGTTAAGATCAGAGATCAGCCAACACAAGGATGAAACCAATCTCCAATAAAAAAAGAAAGAGAGTGGAACAAACTGTACCAAATATAAAAATAGTCGGAAAGATGTGTGCCGGAAACATCAGATTTCAGTCATAACAAGGATAAAACCAATCTCAAATAAGAAAGAAAGAGATCAGAACTGCTTAACCGATTAAAAATGATAAAGCAGTGAATCAAAAAAACAAAATGAATGAAAGAGATCAGAACTGCTTAACCGATTAAAAATGATAAAGCAGTGAATCAAAAAAACAAAATGAATGAAAGAGATCAGAACTGCTTAACCGATTAAAAATGATAAAGCAGTGAATCAAAAAAACAAAATGAATGATAAAGCAGTAAATCAAAACGAAATGTAGTTTTCTTAATTACCTACAAGTGTTTAGTAAGATCCAAAGAGATCAGAACTGCTTAACCGATTAAAAATGATAAAGCAGTGAATCAAAAAAACAAAATGAATGAAAGAGATCAGAACTGCTTAACCGATTAAAAATGATAAAGCAGTGAATCAAAAAAACAAAATGAATGATAAAGATCAGAACTGCTTAACCGATTAAAAATGATAAAGCAGTGAATCAAAAAAACNAAATGAATGATAAAGCAGTAAATCAAAACGAAATGTAGTTTTCTTAATTACCTACAAGTGTTTAGTAAGATCCAACCATGTCACTTCATATATAGAGCATGAGATAAACTTCAAAAAGTAAGTAAAAAAAGATCATTAATCTTAAAATAATTGAATGATCTAACCTGCCCATAATTTAAGACTCCAGCAGAAGGACTCAGTTCAATGTTCCCAAAACGCTGCAATTCGCCATTGGAAAAGTCTCCACCATGAGAAGATTTCATGACATACATATAATCAGTAGGAACTATCGCAAAACCAAGATTGTCCCAATCTAAGTCGGGTACTTCCTTTTCCTCTTTGCTGCAAAATTGCACAAATGCTTGTGGAGATCAGTCGAATGTAAAAAAATAGCAGTCCGCACAGCGATTAGGTATATAGATACAGTCATGATCACCATAATGTTCATAAGGTGCAGCGTCGTGAATATAATGTTGGACTACGGATGATACTCTCGGTGTGACAATATAAACTACATACTCAACCGTTTTACTAGATTTAATATAATCTTATTTGAATAATGTCACGCCAAATAGTTTCCGAAAACTTTTATCATTTGAATAACAAAAGATTACAAACTGAAAAGAAATTCCTCATTTTCCAATCAAATTAGACTTCTCATCATTAATTCAATTTATTCCAATATATCAACAGTAAAGATGAGTTGCAGAGAATGGTTGTACATTACACAACCAATTTCAAGCTCATGCAGAATAGCCTACACATAAAAGATAGAAAACAGAAATACAGAAAACCGTAAAGGTACCAAACAAGACTTTCAGGACACCTGATGGGAGATACAGCTTGACGAGCATTGAAGGAAGGAAGACGAAGCTTCTTGGGGAACTGCGAGACGAAAACAATGCGAAAATGAAGAAATATCACAGCAGCACTAAAAATGAAACAGCAATCTTAAAATAAAGAGAAAAGGGAGGGAGAGAGAGAGAGAGAGAGAGACCTTATAAAAGAATGGAGACGAATGCTTTCTGTGGAAGGAGGAGCGTGAAGATGTATAGGAACGGAGAAAAGGAGAAGAACGGCGAGAAGAAGGAAGAAGGTAATCTGGCTTGAGACCGGTTACGGCGGCGCTGCCCTCCATTGCTTTGTGTCAAGTGTAACCGTAAGTTCGGCGAATTGGATTGTGCACGTTTTCCCTCGCTCTCAGAACCCCGTTGATTCCCTCGCTCTGTGTCAGACCCCGTTGATTCCCTCCCTTTAAATAGTTTTCAGCACCCTGTACCCAACTAAATTCCTGCCTTAATTTTTCAGAAAATAAATACCAAAATTAATATTTCTTTTATTTTCCTCCCTTTTAAAAAAATAAATTGAAATTATTTTAAAATTTAGGGAGATGCATTTTTTTTTTTAATTTAATGTTAAAATATATAATAATTGTGGAGGTAAGCGTTTGCTGAGAAAACTGTAATAAAATTGGTTTAAAACAATTAAGAGCTTGAAAACGACATCTCATTAACAAAAATACCATATAATTGTTAGAATATTGTAATATATTATCTTATTGAATTGGGTTTATTTGATAATCTTTTTTATAAGGATTTAATAGCCTTTTAATTATTTTTTTTTTATTAATACAATTTGGTCGTTAGCCTCCCTTTAAAAAAAGATGTTAATGTTAGATAAAGTCAATAGTCTATTGATAAAATTATGGCTATTTTTATTTCAATTTTTTTGGGACCAAATCTCTCTTGTAATTGAATATATTTATGTATAATGTGAACAGAAAATATGAAATCCGACTGTATTTAATAAAAAGTCAAAAGATTCTCCAGATTTAAAATGATGCAACTTACCAAAACAAACTTTTTTTTGTCCTAATTTTGATGCAACTTCTTAATTGGTTAGATTTATAATAATTATAGTAACATGTTTTTGTCTCTTATATTTAATAAAAACACATAATTTAATTGAATAGATAAAGACTAAAAATTAAAAGAACAACTTACAAAAATAAAAACATTGACGTAAGGATCATATTACCAAAATGAAAAATAATTTAATTATAGAAAATAACAAAAAAAGGAGTAGGCAGGAGGTGGAAAATATTTTCCAAAAATAGATTAAATAAAAAAAAAAGCGAAAGAGTAATTTAAAAATACGTTTTTCAAAACTAAAACTTCCTAATTTAATAAGTACGAATAAACGTTCTTCAAAAGAAAAAAAAATTATTCAAATAAAACTTGCAAAATATTGAATAAGAAGCCTTAAATACTTGTATTTAAGACATTTAAAGCATATTAGAAGCCTTAAATACTTGTATTTAAGACATTTAAAGCATTTTAGGTAAATAGCTGCTTCATAAATAAATAAATATACATATTTGATTGTTGAGGATTATTGAGGGTGAGTCACACGTTGGTTAATTTAGTAGAAAATTATAGATTTATAAGTAAATAATATTATCTCCATTGGTACGAGACCTTTGGGAGAAGCCTAAAGCAAAGTCATAAGAACTTATGCTCAAAGAGAACAATATCATACTATTGAGGGGAGTCGTGCTTATCTAACTTTTATCTAACTTTTAAAAGCAAAAAGAAATGGAAAGTTGGGTCCTGCACATTTAACATAAACCAATCATATCACCCTGACTTAAACTCATTTGCTTTAGGCCCACAATCATTTTAATGGTTCTTAACCACGATTAAGCCACAAACATAAAAAAAATATGCTTAAAGAAAACACCGTCGAGTAACACTTTGATACTAGATGATACTAATAGAAGAAATAAAACCATTTTCTAGAAGCATAATGGTTTACAAACTCGTTCCTTCAACAAACACACCGTCAATAAAACAAATATACACGACCTGACCCGACCAAACCCTCACCATTTCAAGGCATACTACCACTAAGCACGAAATGTTAATAAAACCCCTTTCTACTATAAAGCTATCTATTAACATCTTGATTCCAAGCAATTAGTCACGTTGAGAATATGCATGCTAGAAAATAATGCCCCTCTATAGCTTAGAAGGGTGAGAAACCACAAAAAACTTCCACAAGCGTGAACAGATATATTCTGAGATCATCGCTTTGCACATTCCTTTCTCGACATGTCAAGGCTTTTTTTTTTTTCCCTATCCTTTGGGATATAACACGATCTCTCTGCAGTTCTATTGCTTTAGCGGAGGTGTATTTCCTAAATAACAGAAAAGAACGTAATTATGGCAAAATTAGTGGTTGTTATTGTTGGCTTATTGGCCCTTGATCTCACATTAATTAATTACAATGAATTAATTATTGATGTTTTGATGATAACAAACCTACTTTTAATTATTAACTATTTTCAGTTTTTTGAACTGTCCACAGTATAAGGTCGGGAATAACGATTACAACAACTTTTCAAATTACTCAAATCAGAGCTAAAACGAAGAAATTAGAGTCGAGACAACATACCCGACGTGATGATGTGGCAACAAAATCAAAATGATGGACAAATCAAAATATATCAAAGTATGACATTTATAATATTGGAAGAGTAACACATGGTGGAGTTTTTCTTATTATTACATTTCTAAATAAAATTATTTTTACAAATATAAATTTGAATATAACCGTTACTCACATCGAATTTTATTATTACTATATTATATTATTATATTATTATATTTTAAAATTTTGGTAGTTACTCACATCATTTTTATTATTATTATATTATTATATTTATAATAAATTTTGAATTACATTTTACCGTTACTCACATAACTTTTTATTATTATTATATTATATTACTATTATATTAAAATTTTGAAATAAATGAATTTAGAAAATTTTCTTACTTAATTACTTTTAATCTCCACCTTCCATTATTCCTAACACAATCCAATGGTCAATATTCAATCCTACATTTTGCCACTTTTCTCCTCTATATAAACTCATCTTCCCCACATTTTTAAGATATACAACTTACATACATTCTTCAATCCTCATTTGTTCAAAGTCTCCATTGTTTATTGCTCTCTCCAAGCTTACAAGTTTATTTCTTTTCATCTTATTCTTGAGAGGGATTATTATTATATTGTGAGGAAATAGTTGTCAGTATCCCAAATTGTAAATCTACTCTTTGAGAGAGTTGTGGTGTGTTATTATCAAACTCAAATACTTGTATCGGTTTGATCCTGAGTCGTTGAAAGGATTGAGTTTGCTCTTGAACTCGTAAAAAGAGCGGTGTACCGGTTTGGCTCTGATCCGTGGAAAGAGTCGGAAAAGTTCTTTATTCAAATTCCCAAGAGGCGCTTGGGGAGTGGAGTAGGTCGAGTTTGACCGAACCACTATAAAACTACGGTGTCATTTTCTCTAACTCTTTCCTATTCAATTTCAAGATTATTATTATGTTTATTGCATGTTCTACTTGATTATTGTTTTGACTTGAATTATTTTGTTTTAGTAATTATCATCTTCTACTTATTTGTAAAAAGTTTTATCATTAGAAAAATTAATCAAGTTTAAACACTTTTATCGTTAAAACCCTATTCACCCCCCCTCTAGGGTTGCCATACCGATCCAACAATTGGTATCAGAGCAGGTTGCTCCTATAGATTTTTTATCTAAACTTTATTGTTCGAGCTTATGGCAAACCTACGTGTTAAAAATGGTTTTAGTGAAGGACAATCAACTTCTAGGCCACCTTATTTTGATGGAACAAATTATACATGTTGGAAAGCTAGGATGAAAATTTATTTGCAATCCGTTGATTATCAATTGTGGTTAAATGTTAGTAATGGTCCTTACATTCCAATAAAAATTGTTAATAATATTGAGGTGCCTAAATTAGAAAATGAATTTGATGAGCATGATATGAAAAAATGTTCTTTGAATGCTAGTGCTATCAATTGTCTGTATTGTGCCTTAAGTAATGATGAATTTAATAGAGTATGTATGTGTTCTTCGGCATATGAAATTTGGAAAACTCTTGAAGTAACTCATGAGGGAACCAATCAAGTTAAAGAAACAAAAATTAGCATGTTAGTTCATAATTATGAACTATTTAAAATGGAGGAAAATGAACCTATTGGTGATATGTTTACTAGATTTACTAATATTTTAAATGCTTTGAAAAATCTTGGAAAAGTATATTCTACCTCCGAAAATGTAAGAAAAATTCTTAGGTCTCTGCCTAAAAGTTGGGAGGCAAAAGTGACGGCGATTCAAGAAGCAAAGGATCTCACAAAGCTTCCTTTGGATGAACTCATTGGTTCTCTCATGACACATGAGATTACCATGAACGGGCACATGGAAGAAGAATCCAAAAAGAAGAAAAGTATAGCCCTAAAATCCATCAAAGTTGACTCTGAAGATGAGGACGTCCTTGATGAAGATGATGTCGCCTACTTCACACGTAAGTATAAAAATTTTATTAAAAGGAAGAAACAATTAAAAAAACATTTCACAAATCAAAAAGAGTCAAAAGGTGAAAAGAGCAAAAACGATGAGGTAATATGTTATGAATGTAAAAAGCCGGGTCATATAAGAACGGATTGTCCTCTCCTCAAATCATCTAAGAAATCCAAGAAGAAAGCAATGAAGGCTACTTGGGATGATAGTGATGAAAGTGCAAGTGGAAGTGATGAAGAAGTTGCAAATTTTTGCTTCATGGCTCATAGTGACAAAGAGGATGAACAAGAAGATGAACAAGAAGATGAGGTAACTCTTGAATCTCTTTCTTATCATGAATTATTTAAACTTGTTGATGAGATGACAATTGATTTAGAAAAACTTAGTTCAAAGTATGTTGTGCTTAAAAAGAAATATAAGACTTCAATTATTGAAAATAAGTCTTTGCTAAATGAAATTTCTTGCTTGAAGGAGAAGGATCATAATATTGTTAAAATTGATGTACCTTGTGAAAAGCATGTATTTGATTGTGATGAGAAAAATGCATTAATTGATAAAGTCAAGACTCTTGAGCATGATTGTGGTGAAAAAGATAAATTAATTAAATTGCTCAAAGAGAATGAATCAAATAATTTGCAAGAACTTGGTAGGGCTAAGGAATCTATTAAAATGTTAACAATAGGTGCTCAAAAATTAGATAAAATACTTGAAGGAGGTAAGTCATATGGTGATAAAAGAGGATTAGGCTATATTGATGAATGTTCTACACCTTCAAGTTCTAAAACAATCTTTGTTAAAGCATCCCCTATCTTGCCTAAATCTAACACATGTAAATTTGTATCTAAGTATGATAAATCTAGATTTGTGCCTATATGTCATTATTGTGGTGTTGAAGGTCATATTAGACCTAAGTGTTTTAAATTGAAAAATTCTCAAAATATTCATTTAGGAAGAAAAGTTTCTCAAAATACAAAGTTTAACAATGTTTTAGAAAATAATTTTTCGAATAAAAATAGAATACACAAATTTAGTCCAAGAAATAAATTCTTGCATAATGTCGTTTGTTTCTCGTGTGGTAAGTTTGGACATAAAGATTATTCTTGTTACTTATCTAAATACAATGTCTTTAATATGAATGCAAATATGAAATGGATTCCTAAATTTGTGAATACTAACTTTCTAGGACCCAAACAAGTATGGGTACCAAAAGGTCAATTTTGAATATCTTTGTTTTTAGGTTTGTTTGAAAGCCTCCAAGAAAAATAAGTGGTACTTGGATAGTGGTTGCTCAAGACACATGACGGGTAATCCATCCAAGTTTGTCAATCTTTCCAAGAAGGATGGTGGCTTAGTAACCTTTGGTGATAACAAGAAGGGTAAAATAATTGGTAAGGGTACTATAGGTAATGACTCTTGTACTCTCATTAAAAATGTATTGTTAGTTGATGGTTTAAAGCATGACTTACTTAGCATTAGTCAATTATGTGATAAAGGTTTTAGAGTTGTATTTGATAAGAATAATTGCATAATTGAAAATGCTAGTGATAGAAAAGTTTTGTTTGTAGGAAATAGAGACGATAATGTGTATACTATTGATTTGAATGATTGTCCTACAAATGATAAATGTCTTTCGGTTTTGATTGATAACTCTTGGCTATGGCATAGAAGACTAGGACATGCTAGTATGTACTTGATTTCAAATATTTCAAAAAATTCATTAGTGAGAGGTCTCCCTCAACTTAAATTTGAAAAAGATAAAATTTGTGACGCTTGTCAAATGGGTAAGCAAACTAAGTCTTCTTTCAAATCTAAAAATATGATTTCTACTACTAGACCTCTTCAACTACTCCATATAGACTTATTTGGCCCTTCTAAAATAGCTAGTTATGGAGGAAATTATTATGCTTTTGTGATAGTGGATGATTTTTCAAGATTTACTTGGGTTTTGATGATAAAACATAAGAATGATGTTTTGAAAAGATTTGCTAGTTTTGTAAAAAGAGTTCAAAATGAAAAAGGGTTTTTAATTACTAAAATTAGGAGTGACCATGGGGGAGAATTTAACAGTGTTGCCTTTGAAAAATTTTGTGAAGATAATGGTTTTTCTCATGAATTCTCCTTTCCAAGGACTCCTCAACAAAACGGTGTGGTTGAAAGGAAAAATCGTACTTTACAAGAATTTGCTAGATCAATGTTAAATGAGTATGATTTACCTAAATATTTTTGGGCGGAAGCCGTTAATACCGCTTGTTATATTTTAAATAGAGTTTTAATTAGACCTTCATTAAATAAAACTCCTTATGAACTCTGGCATAACAAAATTCCAAATGTTGGGTATTTCAAAGTTTTTGGTTGTAAATGTTTTATTTTGAACAACAAAGAAAAGCTTGGAAAGTTTGATTCAAAAACGGATATTGGTATTTTTCTTGGCTATTCATCTACTAGTAAAGCTTATAGAATTTTCAATAAGAGAACTTTAGTTATTGAAGAATCTATGCATGTGGTATTTGATGAATCTTGCAATAATATTTCTAATGAGTCTATTTGTAGTGATGATTTAGAAAGAAATTTTGGAGATTTACTCGTTAGTGACAACGGCAAAGAAATTGTTACGAGTAAAGAAGAGATGAGCTTAAAGGAAGAAGGTTCTTCATCAATGCCAAAAGAATGGAGGTATGCCTTGTCTCATCCCAAGGACTTGATTCTTGGTGATCTCGAACAAGGTGTGAAAACTCGCTCTTCTATTAATTTATTTAATAATCTTGCTTTTGTTTCTCAAATTGAACCAAAAAGTCTTAAGGATGCCGAAAATGATGAGTTTTGGATTTTAGCCATGCAAGAAGAGCTAAATCAATTTGAAAGGAACAAAGTTTGGGAATTAGTCCATAGGCCATCTAATACTTCTATTATTGGAACCAAATGGGTTTTTAGAAATAAAATGGATGAAAATGGGAATATCATTAGAAATAAAGCTAGGCTTGTAGCTCAAGGTTATTGTCAAGAGGAAGGCATAGATTATGAAGAAACTTTTGCACCCGTTGCTAGATTAGAAGCTATTAGAATGTTACTTGCTTTTGCTTCTTACAAAAATTTTGTATTATATCAAATGGATGTGAAAAGTGCATTTTTGAATGGTTATATTATGGAGGAAGTTTATGTAGAACAACCTCCCGGATTTGAAAATGTAGAATTTCCTCATCATGTCTATAAGTTGAAAAAGGCTCTTTATGGCTTAAAACAAGCTCCAAGAGCTTGGTATGATAGACTTAGTAATTTTCTTATTGGGAATGATTTTAAAATGGGCAAACTCGACACTACACTCTTTATTAAGATTAAAGAAAACGATATGCTATTAGTGCAAATATATGTGGATGATATCATATTTGGTTCTACTAATCCTTCTTTATGTGAAGAATTTTCTAAATGTATGCATAGTGAGTTTGAGATGAGTATGATGGGAGAACTCAGTTTCTTTCTTGGACTTCAAATCAAACAACTCAAGAATGGTATCTTCATCAATCAAGAGAAATACACTAAAGATTTGCTCAAAAGATTCAAGTTCAATGGAGGTAAGATTGCAAGAACTCCCATGAGCACATCCACTAAGCTTGACAAGGATGAAAAAGGTAAAAGTGTGGATATTAAAGCTTATCGAGGTATGATTGGATCTTTACTTTACTTGACCGCTAGTAGACCCGATATTATGTTTAGTGTATGTCTTTGTGCTAGATTTCAATCTTGTCCTAAGGAATCTCATTTACATGCCGTTAAGAGAATATTTAAATATTTGCTTGGAACTATTGATCTAGGATTGTGGTATCCTAGAAATGTTGAATTTAAATTGGTAGGATATTCTGATGCAGATTTTGCCGGAAGCTTACTTGATCGTAAAAGTACTAGTGGAACTTGTCAATTTCTTGGTAGTTCCTTAGTTTCTTGGTTTAGTAAAAAGCAAAATTCGGTTGCCTTATCTACTACCGAAGCGGAATATATTGCGGTTGCTAGTTGCTGTGCTCAAATTCTTTGGATGAAACAAACTCTTTGTGATTTTGGATTAAAGTTTCATAGTGTGCCTATATTTTGTGATAATACAAGTGCTATTAATTTAACTAAAAATCCTATTCATCATTCTAGAACTAAACATATTGACATTAGACATCATTTTATTAGAGAGCATGTGCAAAATGGACATATTATTCTTGATTTTGTAAACTCTAATAATCAACTGGCCGATATTTTCACCAAGCCATTGAATGAAGAAATTTTTTGCAAAAATAGGCTTGAGCTTGGTATTATTCGTTGTGATATATCTTGAATTTTATAATTTTTGAATGCATGTTTTTAGGGGGAGCCATTATGTCATTATTAAATGCATTCTCTTTCAATTGTTCATTTTGATGATTACAAAGGGGGAGAAAATTAAGAAAAATATGTTCTAAATTTGTTATTTTATAATTTATGAATCATTTACTTGGTGTTTCATAATTTCTTGAGGCATTAATATAAGGGAGAATATGCTCTTGAGTGAAATTTATGATAATATATTAGTATGTAGTGATATTATTACATGGATGTTGTATTATTGGTTTTTATGAATTTTTCTTTAAATGATTTGTCATCATCAAAAAGGGGGAGATTGTTGGCTTATTGGCCCTTGATCTCACATTAATTAATTTCAATGAATTAATTATTGATGTTTTGATGATAACAAACCTACTTTTAATTATTAACTATTTTCAGTTTTTTGAACTGTCCACAGTATAAGGTCGGGAATAACGATTACAACAACTTTTCAATTACTCAAATCAGAGCTAAAACGAAGAAATTAGAGTCGAGACAACATACCCGACGTGATGATGTGGCAACAAAATCAAAATGATGGACAAATCAAAATATATCAAAGTATGACATTTATAATATTGGAAGAGTAACACATGGTGGAGTTTTTCTTATTATTACATTTCTAAATAAAATTATTTTTACAAATATAAATTTGAATATAACCGTTACTCACATCGAATTTTATTATTACTATATTATATTATTATATTATTATATTTTAAAATTTTGGTAGTTACTCACATCATTTTTATTATTATTATATTATTATATTTATAATAAATTTTGAATTACATTTTACCGTTACTCACATAACTTTTTATTATTATTATATTATATTACTATTATATTAAAATTTTGAAATAAATGAATTTAGAAAATTTTCTTACTTAATTACTTTTAATCTCCACCTTCCATTATTCCTAACACAATCCAATGGTCAATATTCAATCCTACATTTTGCCACTTTTCTCCTCTATATAAACTCATCTTCCCCACATTTTTAAGATATACAACTTACATACATTCTTCAATCCTCATTTGTTCAAAGTCTCCATTGTTTATTGCTCTCTCCAAGCTTACAAGTTTATTTCTTTTCATCTTATTCTTGAGAGGGATTATTATTATATTGTGAGGAAATAGTTGTCAGTATCCCAAATTGTAAATCTACTCTTTGAGAGAGTTGTGGTGTGTTATTATCAAACTCAAATACTTGTATCGGTTTGATCCTGAGTCGTTGAAAGGATTGAGTTTGCTCTTGAACTCGTAAAAAGAGCGGTGTACCGGTTTGGCTCTGATCCGTGGAAAGAGTCGGAAAAGTTATTTATTCAAATTCCCAAGAGGCGCTTGGGGAGTGGAGTAGGTCGAGTTTGACCGAACCACTATAAAACTACGGTGTCATTTTCTCTAACTCTTTCCTATTCAATTTCAAGATTATTATTATGTTTATTGCATGTTCTACTTGATTATTGTTTTGACTTGAATTATTTTGTTTTAGTAATTATCATCTTCTACTTATTTGTAAANAGTTTTATCATTAGAAAAATTAATCAAGTTTAAACACTTTTATCGTTAAAACCCTATTCACCCCCCCTCTAGGGTTGCCATACCGATCCAACAGTTATACGACGGCTGATTAACAGAAAGCTGAAGATATGCAAAGAAAACTAAAAATATTAAACAGTATAATAATGTTGTGATATGCATACTGACTAAAAGTGTTAAACAGGGAGAGCTCATATTGCATACTGGATGATGGCACTCTCATTCTCTGCCCAATCATTTTCACCTTTTCTACAAACTTCTTTCTGATCACTTCAGTCTATAACGCTTTGATACCATGATCTGTTGTCAATGAGAACTTACAGCCAAATTCTTGGGGTTTCAGGAGCTACATTTTTCCAATTACATTTTTTTGTAGTCAATGAGAACTTGATCAAGCCTTCCCTCAATAAAAGCACCCTGAGCCTCAGAAATCATCGAGAGGAGGACCTTTTGGAGGGTATGGATTAAAAGGAAAACAAAACACTTTTCATGACATCTCCAATGGACGACCTTCGGCGTTTGGATAGATATTTTATTCCTAGTTGTGCAATTTGCCTAAAGTTTTATGTAGTTATGAGTTCTTTTGATGTATCCCAATTGGGATCTCTTGTTATAAGTCCCCATGTTAACTCTATCCTTCTTTCCACAACTTTCTTCTCTTTAATGAGTATTGTTTCCGATCTACAAAATTCTTCAATAGATGAAAATCAGATAGATGATAAACTGCTTAAACTTAGGATTAGGTGGTCAAAAGAGAAGAATACCACACTAAATCTTTATAATTTGAATTCAGAATGTGGGGGGGAAATCTAAAAAGATCTAAATCTCATTGATTCTCACTCCTTGGCTTCTTATACTGATATTTAAATCAAGGTTGCATATTAGTCTTAGCTCAAAACCGTTGAAGAGGGAGTTGGGAAATCTAAAATGCTTGCTTTGAGTATAGGAAAGATCAATAGGAAAACTAGTCGGTTAGACCATAAAATCAACTAGGTGAGATCAAACTTCTAGAATCTCTATGGTTCTATTTTACACGCTGTCTTCAGTCTTAGTTTTTAATTTAAAATCACACCTCAAATTCTGTCATTAAGACAGAGATGGCTAAACATTTTAATATTTAGGAAGAATTGGAAAGCAATATTAGGAAATGACTTTATCACCATTCTTAAGTAGCAGTAAGATCTATCAGGTACGAAGTCTAGAAAAAACCACCCAGAAATAACATGAGATAAGTGGTAGATAAGAAGGCATACAGAAGAAAGTAATGTCGGAAGGCAAAAATTGAAACTTGAAAGCAAAAAAAAAAAAAAAAAACATATACCTGACAGCAAACAGCATCTTGTTCAACATTTCCTAAGCGTATAGCTGAAACATTCCATGGACCTCAGTACTGCAGGGTAATACACTTCATAAAATTGGACTGCTCAAGTTGCCTTGTAGTAAATAATTTCATCGTACAAACCATACCTTTTCTGCGATAGTTTGCTGATGGTTTGATGCATCTTGGTCAATGGGTATGTCAGAGTTCTTCGGTTTATAAGCCATAACTTCAATGATGTTAATGTCTGTATTTACGATAACAACTTCAGCCTCCTTGACACTTTCTTGGTTTTCAGTGGATGACCCAAATGCCTTAGGATTCTCAAGCACGTTCATTTGGGATGATGCTCCTTCACTGAAATCAAGTCATTCACTTATAAATCATCTTATAAACTTCGTTAAATACAAAAACCATTAGATAAACTAGAGGTGCTCAGACGTTGTTGGGAGAATAACTAACGACTGAAGGAAATTAATTTTGACCAGGAAAAAAAAGAACATACGGGCAACTAGGATCATCTTCTGCAGGGTTCACAGAAATTTCTTGTTGTCTCTGTTTCTTATTGTTATGTTCTACGTCCATGTGTTCTAGGGAACCAGGATGAGTAATGTTGGTAGCCCTCCTTTTCCTTCCAGCCAAAATCCTACGATCAGACACTGTAGCATCATTTACAATCTCAGATTCAAGAACAGGTACTCCTTTCATGTCCTTGCCTACTGGGGGTACTTCAACTATTACTTTCGGTTCTCCAATAGCATATTTCAGATCCGGTCTTTCAGAATAACTCATTTGGGACTTCCCATTACCCCCATCCATTTCAAACTCCCGAGACTGTAAAAGTTGTCCAGGAATTGAGCTTGATTTGTCAGCCTGACTGATCAGATTTTTATCACGATACCTTCTAGATGGCCTCTCTCTCTCAGCAGACTGCTTGAATATCAATTCAGAGCAACGTTTGATCCATGAGAAAGGAGTGGAAGTAGGATGCGAATCACCATCTAATTTGGGCATAGATGGGGTCCCAAAGCCATTAGTAATCTTTTGAGTATCTGTTTGGTGCTGTGAATTCAAATCAGCATCTCTAACAAGTGCACGCTGCTTCAGAAGTCTTCTTGGAGAACCAATAGGCTGAGCAGGTGTCAAATCAGATTGGCTCATCTCAGCCGCAGCCATATTATCCAAAGCAACTTTCAGATCCTCAAATTTCTTAAGACGTTCAATCTCAGAAAGAATTTCCTCCCTGTCAGCATGCAACAACTCCCTCTGCTTTTCTAATTTCTCCCTTTGAATCTTAAGTTCCTCGATGGAAGTATTTAGTTCAGCCCATTCTCTGTTTCTTCTTTCACGATCTAAATTAATCTCCATTCTCTCAGTTTCAAGTTTTTTTATTTCTAATGCAGCCTCTTCCAAATCCTTAGTTGCTTTGTCCTTAAGGAAGCTAATTTTTTCCAGTTCACTCTTCTTTTCTTGCTCAAAGTTTTTCAGTTTTTCCCTCAAATGGCTTTCTAATTCTTCACGCTTCTGCTCAAGACAATTCTCAAGCTCCTTCTTCTGTGCCTCAACGTCCATTAGAAGATCCTTACGTTCTTGCTGCATTTTTTTCAACCACTCAGAACGTTCACATGTCATCTTATCCAAGAATTCCTCTCGCTCACGAGAAAGTGTCTCCATATCATTATTGAATTGATCTCGCATTACATCCCTCTCCAGTCTAAGGCTATCACGTTCATCTTTGATAAATTTGGAAACAGCTAACCGCTCTGCAGCTAGAATTTCAGCTTCCTTCCGCAGCTCCTCTCTTTTCTCATCAATCATTTCCCACTCAGCTTCAAATTTGGCCTTCTCAACCATCAATTTATCTGCCTCATCCATCAATTCCAGTTTCTGAACTCGAACTGAATCAAGCTCTTCTTTAAGCTTCATCTCTAGCAGGGATAATTCATTTGTTTCACTCCTAATGGCTTCAAGCTTGTCCTTTGCACAGTCGACTTGTTTCCTTCTGTCTTCTAGGTAATTAAGGGATTGCTGAAGCTCTAGCTTCATTTTAGAGCACTCATCTTTCTCTTTGTGCAGGAGTGCTTTATTAAGTTCAAGCTCCTGCGCAGCAGCACTTAAGTTCTTCTCTTTCTCATCAAGAAACTTGGATAATTCTTCTACCTCCTTCTCCTTTGTTGCCAATGACCTAGATTGAGTCTCCAAGTCAAGTTCCGCTTCCAAGAGTTGTTCCTCCCGTTGTTTAAGGTCCATCTCTCTCAACTCCCAGGCACGTCTCCTGCCTTCAATTTCATCTTCAACTGCTTTCTGCTTTACTTGCAGCTCAGCATCAAAGTCAGATATCTTCGTTCTCAAAGTACTTTCATGGTTTGCAACAACTTTCTGAATTTCATTCTGCAAAGCTCACCCAACGAGAACGAAAATGTAATCAGTGCCTCAAAAAATAGGTCGGTTCATTTAATATGAAACAGGGTGCATTCCAGGAGGGAAAATAATAATACAATCTTTAAGGTGTTAGTAAAATTAATAATATGAATCACAATGTTGCACAAGTAGAGCAAAAGAATAGGTTAAAGAAATTTACAGATTCTTTTGTCGCAATTTTTTCCTGTAAAACAAGTAGCTCTTGCTCTCTCTTGTTCAGCAAAACTTCCATTCTACTGACAGCCTGAAAACCCAAAAGGTGAACCAATTAGATTTTAAGGACAAAGCACAAATTATTCACAGAATATTATCCAAATCAAAATAAGAAAGGAAATTAAAACCTCCTCTCTCTTTGATAAAGCCGCTTCAGTGAGTTGCAACTTGGACTTCTCATTATGAATTGATCTGCGCTCATCCTCAATATTAGCTCTTGAGTCCTCTAACTCCTTTTCCAATCGACTTAGCTCTTGAGTCTTACTTAACACATATTCCTCCCGCTGATTAAGCAAAGCTTGTCCATCAAGCAATCTCTCATGTTCCTGTTGTAATGCTTTCTGTCTTTCACTTAAAGATTGCCTCTCAAGCACAATCTCTTCCCCTTTCTTATCACAGCTACAAAAAGTATATATATAACAACAAAAATAAAAATCTGTTTTCCACGAGAGTTACAAATCAATGAACAAAAGAAGTTTTGGAAAAATTATAGCAACTGTCCATCCACTGCAGATAAAGCAAAGAAAAATGTCACAATGCATAGTGCATATTGGTTGTGTGTGCTGCTCTGACTTATCAATGGACGTCTGATTTGTCCATTACATGAGAAATTAATCCTGTGAGCCTCATAGATGATAATAAAGCTACAATATCATAACTTCATAATCAGATTTCAGGTGAGCTAGTCAATCAGATTAGGAGGAAAGAAAAGACCAACTGAAATAGTGAAGTTCTTTGAATCAATGTAATTAAGGCCATGGCTTGAAATTACCAAATCTTCAATGAAACGGAATGCAGTTTGGATGAAGCCTTTGAGATGGCTAAGTTTTATTGCTCTTTATGGTGTTCCCTAATTTTCTTTTTGAATTTGTACTCTGGTGTTACCAATTCTAACTTGGTGGGGTAGGGGATTGTTTCTTGATGTGAGTGGAGAAGAATAAAAGTGAAAAGGGTACAGATGTCTTCATATTCCTTCTCTTTCTCTTTCGGTTTTCTCTCCTTTATACTAAACTTTTGTGTACCTTTTCCCTATATCTATGGAAAATATTTGGAATAAGTAAGGTTCACATTTTAAAATAAAGGATTCACATATGAAAACAAAGATGACAAAAAAATCATAACCATCATTCTTGTCTGGAAGAAATTATCACCATCTACTCTGAAACAGCAAAGGACCAAAGGTTCAACGTTGATAAATGACAGGCATACAGAACCAAATCAATGTAAGAAAATGAAAAGGGGCATGCATATCAACTATGCTAATAAAATAAAGTAAAAAGAGCAGAATGCATACTCAGACTTGAAACATGTCATACGCCTCCTTAGATCATCTTCCCGTGCCTCAACTTCCTGGAGCTTTCTTTCTGCAGCACGATTACACCGGTCAGCTTCTGCTTGTAAAGATTCTGCCGCACGTAGCTTGGCTTCAGCCATACTAAATTTCTTCTGAGCATCCTCCAATGTAATGCGAGCTTCCGCTAATCTACTCTCAGCCGCAACCTTGGTTTCAGCAGATTCTAGACGCATTTCGTGCAAAGCCTTCTCAAGCTATATTACCAAAGTAGAAAATTACAAGCACATAAATACAATGCATGGTCAAGAAAAGTCATTTACATATAAAAACTTACACTTGCAATACACTCTTCCTTGATTCCAATAGCCTTCTTAAAACTGTCCTCCCGTTTCTTGGCTTCAGTTAAAGCTGATAAGTGGGCAGCTTGGTCACGCCTGTACAGCAATTCAGCTGTCTCAGCTTTACTTTTAATTTGCTCATAATCTGAAGCCAATTCCTTCCTTTCTAATATGAGAAGGCCCATATGGTGTTGATGGTCAAAGATCTGACAAGAATACATAAATTAGTTTAGTAGGCAAAAAAAAGGAGAATTTATTGGTGCAATACAAAAACCAGAGCTCTTTCAATTGAAAAAATACAAGCCTGCCAGAATAAAGACCAATTCAAACCTTCACAATGTTTAGTCCTAAGGAGAAATTTATATAAAAAGGGTACAGAGTTGGACTAATTCAAGACAAATAAATTTATGGGAACAGTTATAGCATTATACACATTAGTCCTACTCCACAGAAATGTTATTCATTGTTTTCAGAAATCCTCCTGATAGAAAAGAAGACAAAGGTCCAGGAACTAAAATTTTTGAGCCAAACTATTTCCAACCTAGGATGGCAAACACAACCCAGTAAAGCAAATTAAAGAATTCTATCCTAGTAGATTAAATCATGAAAATAAAGAAAAAGGTCAAAAGAAAATCAATAGAACGAAAGAAATGAACCCATCTATCTGCAATGAGATAATACTTCATGCTTAATAAATATAACAAAGTTGATCCTATGCCATTGATGAGAAGTAAGTCAATCAAAGTTAAGCACCAATCAAACAATCTTGAACTTCATACCAAAACTTAAAGAACGCCTCACTGAATTATTACATCAAATTCATAATTTAGAGCTCCAAAATTTCAATGCAGGCACATTGCAACGTGACATTATCAAATTTGATAGCTAGACTCTTTAAAATGAATCCAAGATACAATAACAAAACAGGAGTTGCAAAATTGGTACTAGTTCACCAAAACTTTCGGTATTTTCCTTGTTTCACTTTTGCTTCTAAGTATTAATAAGAAAATGGATCAATTATTTCAATGCGGTTACAACTGCCGTTATGCATTCAAGTGCAGTAGCACAATTACAAAGAGCCAATTATTAATACAATCAAGTATCTTACCAAATAGAACTAAAAAACTGCCATGATTTTTATTACCCTCCCAAAGAATAAACAAATTTGATCAAATTCATCTCGTATTCTTAAGCTAATCTCAAGTTGTAACAGTGAGCTTCCGTCCACCCCTACGCTTACGAATTTACCAGAGGTTTTTGGATATAATCGATTGCATTGCAAAAACTTTTTGTAATTCAAATATAAAAGATTTACTATGAGAAAGAAACCAAATTCTGAACTAACACTTATATTTCAGATATCCCGCATCCAACCAAAGAGGAACACCAAAGAGAATGGGAGTAAGTAAAGGAAATGTAAATCTCGAGAAAGGAGAAATCCTTAAGTAAAGAAGACAAACCTCAGCTTCGAGCTTAGCGATATATGCAATAAGCGCAGCTTTATCCCTGCGTTTAATTGATTCCTCGTCGAAGCCAGCTTCTTTGAGACGCCTCCAGATAACTTCGTCAGCAAGTGGGGTTTGCAAAACCCTAGACCCAGGCGTCAAGGACAAACTCTTGCCGGAACTCAAAGCATATCCAGCCCGTCCTGACTGCGGACTCGCCATCCGGAGTCTGAATTGCAGGAGAGACAAATCCAAAACACTCAGAACCACCTCAATTCAACGCTCAGCCACGATCGATCTTGAAACACGAAACTTACTTTCGCTCTCTATTCTCACTCCCTCTCTGAAAAGGGTAGCGGGATCAAGTTCTTCCCACTTGGCTTACTTTCTTTCCGCTCTGAATCGCTTTAACCTTTCTCTCTCAGTTTTCGTGGGCTCAGGAGCAAAATTCACAAAACACAGTCAAAAGAAAGTCAGCGAACAAATAAGAAAGAGATGAACCCTACGACGCCGTTTTATTGCTAATCAGTTGGAACTATTTTAGGCTTTACCTTCGCGTTTGATTTTCAGATTTAACGGCTTGATTAGAATTTAAATAAGGTAAATGAAGCCAAGTGCGACTGTCTACATTCCATTCCACGTCATGTCGTTTTAGTACTTCAAACTCTTAATTTGGGCCGCTTTGTATGGACAGTTTCGGCCCAGTCTCACAACTAACGAGAAGCCCAAGAACAAGCCCATTTATACCCAATAATTTGTTTTATAATTTAAATCAAGTCCAATAGACTCATTTGAGACGTCAAATTAAGATATATTTAAAAAAATATTAAATATAAATATGAACATTGGATAATTCGCCCAGGCCCAAACTAAGCCCAATCCATCCGAATCCAAAAGCCGTAAAGGAGGCATCGGCCCAACCCTATATGGGGATTCGATTATTTCCATTTACCATATTAGCCTCCTCTACCTTACGGTGTTCCACTGTTGACCGTTTCCGTACAACTCAGTGGGGGCAGCCCGTAGTGGGCAGGGCAGCCACTCCATTTTCCGTTTGAAAAACAAATAAAAGTTTTTTTTTTTTTTTTTTTCCTTTTTGAATAAAGAAACAGAATATTTTGCATTTAAAAAGAAATAATTGGCCGGAGACGGGATGATTTATTATTATTATTATTATTATTATTATTTTACCCAGGATAAGATTCTTATAGGCATTCCCGGTTGACAAGAAAGAGAATAATACTGCATTCGGCCATCTTTATTTAATTATTCTGTTTTAAGCAGTCATGTCAACCATTAATTGAAATAAATATATACATGCACCCGGTGATATTAAATAATCTGTACATATTAAAAACAAAATTAAAAGTTTTTTAAGATTTAAGAAGGCATTAAATATTTTTTTAAAATGGAGAGAACTTCTAGATTTTTATCAAAAGAAAATAAAAAATGGGAACCAATGATATGGGGAAAATATGCTGCGGTGGCCATATGGGACTTCTTTCCACGTGTTCCGAACCCTTTTCAATTAGTAACGTGGCTCCACGTCATGTCAACCCATTTTTATTTCTCCCAACCCTAATACTCATAATAATAATTAAGATTCTGTTTTTAAAAATAGAAGTAGAATTGATATCAGATTGGAATCTATTATCATTTATCCAAATAAAGAATAATAATCGATTTAAGATTGATTTACAATTAAGTCAACCAGAAATATTATTATAAAAATATCAATAAAGAATAATCAACATTTTTTTTTTTCTTTTCAAGCAAAAAAGAAAAGGAACATTGCCTTTCAAGTGTAACACAGTAATTCAGATTGTAAAGTAACTATCCATTATTCTTATCTTTCTAGTGTTTTTCTGCATTATTGTATACAGTAAATTTTAATTATTGTTTTGAATAAGACATTTTAATTAAATCATCCTAAGTTTCAAAAATTATTATTTAATTTTATAATATTTAAAATTTTCAATTTGAATATATTTGCGTAGATAAGACGTAAATTTTGAATAAATGTGAATTTCTCAAATAATAAATTAAATTCGTAACTACTGGTAAATAAAAACTGGTTCATTAAAAGAAAATAAGTATTTCTTTGTACTTTTATTTTAAATGACCCGTTAACTGGAATATATTCTTTTTTTATTTATAATCTCCAAGTTCCAAAATTCAAATGATTTTAAAATATCAAAATCAGAGCCAACCCAAAGCGAACGCGCGTGCGACACTTTAAGCAACCAAAAACCTTCCAACTGTTTTCTGCCGGCAAGCAACAGTCTTCAACTACCCCTAATTTCTTTTCTTTTTTACTTTTTTCTCCTATCATTTTTACATTTCTGTGCCCTCATCCCACCACGTGTCAGCACGTGAGCTTCGTGCGGCCAACACTAAAATTCCATTTATTTTTATTAAAATAATTGACAACATTCTCGTGAGACCAAAAAATTTAATTGAGATTAATGTGTTAAAATAATTTACTTAATTCAATTATAATAAAATAATAATAATTAAATTAATAACATGTATTATATTAAAAAAAATACACATAAATAAAATGAGACATAACCCTACTAAAGTGCGGGTCCATTTTTCTTTAAATGTTAATATTTTAAAATTTCAATCTCCATTATTTAATTCATGTCGATTGGATACAAGACATAGGATATGACTAGTCTTCTCGTCTTTACTTTTCGAACTAAGTTTTTTATTTAGGTAGAATTATGTCAATATACACCGCCCTATAATTTAAGGACCATTGGTTGATTATTGACAGGTGATAGCCCTCTCTACTAATTCTATATTTCAACGGCATTAAATCAAACAACATTTAAAAAGGTATTTGTCCATAAAGTGTAAAAATGATAATAATTTAAAAAGAGGATTGAAAAGAATTGGTCCAAATAATATGTTAGTTGGAGAGAGGGGTGGGGGCTGATTTGTTTGATGTGACTAATAAACCCGTTTTCCAACCCCCACCCTGAAAATAATCAAACAATAATGATATCATATTAGGGTGACTAGACATATGTTTCCTCAATTAATGCTATGTGATCCTCTTTCCACGCATTCATATCTACTCCTCGATGGCGACATCTTTTTTATTTTCCATGGAGGTGGAGGCCTTCCATTATCCACCGCCGATGGATTGTATTTCTCACATTTTTATTTTATTTTTTTTATTTTTATAGCATTAAATATTTATTATTCCCAAAAAATAGTACTAAGATTACCTTAACCAAACTAATAATTTAGAGACAGAAATGTGGTCGAAGACAAGAGGCAAATACGGTCGGATGGGGAAGAAGAAAAAACCAAAGCATGGGAGACCTTATCCACATTCTTTTATTTTATTTATTTAAATGAATTTATTTTACCTCCATTATTATTATTATTATTATTATTATTATTATTTCCAAATTCTACGCTCCACAATGAAACGCCAGCGAATCAAATGCCCATCCCAACAAAATCATTGGTGGGCCATACCTGTCTTATACCATCCCCACCCTTTATTTTTATTATTTTTTTCCACTCCAACCACACGTCTCTTATTATTATTATTATTATTATTATTATTATTATTATTTTGGACATTTAAAACAAATATAATTAGTTTAGATTCGGATATTTCAATTAAATAAAATTTTTAAAAAGGAAATAGAGAAATAAGGGAAGTGTAATTTGGGAAATATGAAATGTAAGGGGAAGGTATAATGCGTGAATGTTTAGACATTATTTTCAATTAAAGAAAGCAAAATGAAAAAATCGCGTTACCTTTTCAAGTGTTTGGTTTTTGTTGGTTCCTCATACTATTTAGATGACCTAACTTGTCATCTCAATATTGCCGACACATGGTCTATACTTTCTTTTTTATTTAAATAAAAAATATATATATATATATATATATTAAAATAAATAAAGTACTTAAAGTAGCTACAAAGTCCACTCGAACAACCATATAGTATTGTAGTGAGGTAAAAGTGTAGATTATTGTTGATGAATCATATTCGAAAAAACTTTTCTCTCCCTAAATTCTTTCCTTTATTTTTAAAGTATGATAATTATTATTCCAATAATGTCACCCTATTCTTAGTGCTCATCTCTTTCTGGCTAATCCCTTTGCACCGAAGAAAAAGGTAATAAATTGGTGAATTTAATTTATTTAATTTTGAAAAAATGATATTATAAAAAGAGGAAGAGATTGTTAAGCAAACATAGGCATGTCGACATGAATGGAATTGTGGAGATATTGGGCAACACATGGTGACATGATGATGGATGGTCATCTTCCAACCAGTGTCAAAGGGGACATGGGGAAGATTAGACAGCCCATGTGATGATATATATATATTTACTTTCCCACACCCTCTCCAAAGGGAGCCGTCTTGATTCTGCTGCTCACTGGTTTTAAAAAGCTTGCCGCTAAAAGGGAACATTCCGGACCAAATCATACCAAATACCAATTATATATATCAACCCATTTCAAGTGAATACATCAAGATCACAGAGACATAATTTTGGTTTAATTTGGTGAACAATTTAATTAAGCAACAAGTATGGGGTGACAAACTTGTTGTAGAGAAACATAATATTTATTAGAAGGGAGTGCTTTAGTAGATGCGTTTTAATACTGTGAGACTGACGGTCATAGGCCAAAACGGATAATATCTATTAACGGTAAGTTTGAATTGTTATATATGATATCAAAGCTAGATATTAGACGATGTGCGAGTGAGAACCCTGATATAAAGAGGGGTGGATTTTGAGTTTCCATATCCAGAATAGACAACATAGACCGTGTTTTAAAAATGTCATTTTTTTTTAAGTTTAATACGGAGGGGATATCAGATAGTGGGGTACTAATGGTCAACCTATGTAAATAGCATTGATAAAAAATTTAAATTTCACCCAATGCCAAAGATTCGACCGTCTCCTCATTCTTTCCTTTGATTATTAATCGCCCACCACCAACCCATTCCCTCCATTCCCATTTCTCTCTTCTTAAACGCCATCCCTCTTCTCAAAATCCCCACGCCATCGCTTCAAAAACGCCTCCAAAACGTTCAACCTCAAATCTTCATTCATATACCCAGATGGGTTTTGACGATCTTCCTAATACGGGTCTTCTATTGGGATTGGGGTTAACGCTTCAATCCAAGCCGGCGTGCCTTTCTCAAAAACCCAACAAGCCTGTCGATTTGTTCAGTTTCCCCGCCGTCGAATCCGAGCCGTCCTTAACTTTGGGGCTTTCTACTACGGCTGACTTGTGTCGTCAACCATCGCCTCACAGCACGGTTTCTTCCCTCTCTGGCGGAAAGGTCAAGCGTGAAAGAGACGTTTCCGGCGAGGATATTGAAGAAGAGAAAGCTTCTTCTCGGGTTAGTGATGAAGAGGAAGATGGGTCTAATGCTAGGAAGAAACTTAGGCTAACTAAAGAACAATCCGCCCTCTTGGAGGAGAGCTTCAAACTTCACTGCACTCTCAACCCTGTAAGTTTCTGATTATGGATTT